AAAATAAAGAAGAAGGCAAGGAAACGTGCTTCTCTAGGGAATGATTTATTTATCTCTGTACAAGAAGGCCGTGAGCATATACAGCAGCTTGATACACAGCTTAATGAGCAGGTTGATGAGCTTACACCTATGCCTCGTCAACGCGCTTCACCACGCTGTAGTGGCTGTGGGACTGTTGGGCATACAATAAGAAGCTGCCCTAATAAATAGCTAGATATTTTGTCTGTTATATATTTTAATTCAATGGTGTTAGTGGTTGCAAAGCTTCAAATTCGTGGTGGTTGCGGAGGAAGTGGACGGGACGGCCGTGTGGACGGCTCGGCCGTGGATTAGTTAGTTATTGGTTGGTCCCCGCCATCTTTCTCCAAGGCCAAAAGATGCCCCTCCGCGTCCCAGTGTCTCTGGCAAAGCAACGATTACATTCGATCACGCAGTATTACCCCGCTCGGTGTCAGCAGCAATTCCGGACACCACCACATTTCACTTATTCCCGAACACCTTTTTTCTCTTCTCGCCGTTCATTTTACGGTCATATCAGTGATCAGAAAATGGCGCCTCAGCTGGAACCCTACTTCAAACAGTGAGTTTGAGAGCTAGAAGCATTCTGCTTCTCATGTATTTCGCCAAAGCTCATTTCTCTTTTCACTATCTAGGGTGGACGGTCTGTCCAGCTCGTTTATTGATCGTACGTGCTCTATTGGCTTTCCCTGGAGCTTCCGGGCGGTCCTCCCCTTCCTCTGTGCGGCAGACGACTAACAATCCTGAAGGACTGCGGAAAGCAGTGGCCATTCCCTCGGTTTCTGCCCAGGATGAAAATAGAAAGGATGTGTTCAAGGTCGGTTATACGATACATTTTTGTTTTTGAAATCAGGACTGATTTGAATTGCCCTTTCTCAGATGGCCGAGTTTCTCAGCTCGGAGCTCGAAGCTCTGGGGGCAGAGGTGCAGCAAAGGCCGTTAGGAAAGCAGCCCGGAAAAGAACACCTTGATCTGCCTCCCGTGGTCATTGCTCGCTATGGTAATGACAAGAATAAGCGGACTATCCTGGTATACGGACACTACGATGTACAGCCTGCTTTGAAGGAAGACGGCTGGGCCACGGAGCCTTTTGAACTGTCTGTCGACGAGAAGGGAAGGATGTACGGTCGTGGCAGTACAGACGATAAGGGACCGGTGCTGGGCTGGCTGAACGTGATTGAAGCTCATAAGAAAGCGGGCGTTGAATTGCCGGTCAACCTCCTTTGCTGCTTTGAGGGAATGGAGGAGTATGGTTCTGAGGGTTTGGAGGAGTTTATCCAGACGGAGAGCAAGGGCTTTTTCAAAGATGCAGATGCGGTTTGCATTTCAGACAACTACTGGCTTGGTACAGAGAAACCCTGTTTGACCTACGGATTGCGAGGTTGCAATTATTACTCCGTCCGGGTTTCTGGTCCTGCGCAAGATCTACACAGTGGTGTCTTTGGTGGCTCTGCGCACGAACCTATGACAGACCTGGTCAACGTTCTATCTAGGCTTGTTGACTCGCAGGGCAACATCTTGGTTCCCGGTATCATGGATCTCGTGGAGCCTCTGACGGAAGAGGAGAAGTCCCTGTATCCTGCCATCAGCTACACTATGGAGAACCTCCACGAGTCGCTGGGAAGCGAGACAGGCATCCACTCGACGAAGGAGCGGACGCTCATGGCCAGATGGAGATACCCATCACTGTCCATCCACGGTATCGAAGGTGCTTACTCTGCCCCGGGAGCCAAAACGGTAATCCCGGCCAGTGTCATTGGCAAATTCTCCATCCGGACCGTGCCAAACATGGAGAGCCCAGATGTCAACAAGCTCGTCTTTGACTACATCAAATCTGAGTTCGCGAAATTGAACACTAAGAACACCCTGGACGTGTGGCTTCAGCATGACGGAAAGTGGTGGGTTGCCAGTCCGAAACACTGGAACTTTACTGCTGCGAGCAAGGCTGTGAAGCAAGTCTTCGGTGTCGAACCAGATCTGACACGTGAGGGTGGCAGGTATGTTTCTTCTTCTGCTCGTCATCAGATGCGATACATTCATGATATGTGCTTGTGCTAATTTGGTTTATAGTATCCCTGTCACCTTGAATTTCGAACAAGCTACGGGCAAAAATGTGTTACTCCTTCCCATGGGATCTTCGACCGATGCTGCGCATTCTATTAATGAGAAACTTGACAAGAGGAACTATATCGAAGGTGTCAAGTTGCTCGGTGCATACTTGCACTACGTTGCTGAAGAACCCATAAGTGCATAGGATATCCTGTGTATGTTATACGTACAAAATAGTTGTCCACAGAATTCAAGTACGTATATTGGCATTCGACTCTTCGTAGTCTCCCTTCTACCCCTGGGGTAATTACGGAGTAGAACTTCTGGAGTAGGAATGGTGGATACCCCATTGCCTTAGGCGGCAAAATTGGCGGTGGGTACCGACACGCGACGAACGCGACTCTATCGCATTAACGCATCAACCGCGCAACGACTAGATACCTTGTCAAACAGTATGAGATACTTAGCCCTCATCCCCTTGGGATAGTTTCTCCGTAATGTCACCTCATTTGAAGCGTTCCCAGTCTTCCTTAGGATCTGAGGATAATGATGAACTTGGGGACGATGACACAGTTCATGTCCCAGGCTCTTCTCACTCGGTGCGCAGACCAACCAAGAATCGCAGCGGAGTGAGCTAACAATAATATCATGAGAAGAGAAAACGCCCTCGCACGTCCGCTTCCCCTACGTCTGAAGAAAAGGAGGCCAGCGACGATTATGGGGCAGCATCAATACCCAAGCCTCTCAACGAGGATGAAGATGAATTAGAGCTGCGCGCAACCCAGGCAATTCAGCAGAAATATTCTTCATCGAATAACGAAGAGAATGTTCCCGCCGAGCATGGGATCTTGGAGCGCGTCGAATGCTACAATTTCATGTGTCATGATCATTTTGCAGTGGACCTGGGGCCCCTCATTAACTTCATCGTGGGGAAGAATGGGAGCGGCAAGAGTGCAGTTCTTACAGCGATAACTCTCTGCTTAGGTGGTAAAGCGTCTGCTACCAATCGCGGGCAGAGTTTGAAAAGCTTTATTAAAGAGGGAAAGCAGTACGTGAGCGTTCAATTCTGTTTGGAATTCGGTGTCTAATCAACATTCTTTTATAGACATGCTGCTATCGTTGTGCGGATCAAAAATCAAGGCGATGGGGCCTATTTGCCGGACGACTACGGAAAATCTATCATCATAGAACGCCATTTTACGAAGAATGGGACAAGCGGTTTCAAAATCAAAGCCGACAATGGTCGCATAGTGTCCAACAAGAAGGCCGAATTGGATTCCATAATCGACTACTTCACTTTGCAATTCGACAATCCTATGAATGTTTTATCGCAAGACATGGC